TAGATAATTAATAGCCAGAAGGAATGCCCAGTCTTGAGTTAGAAACTGATGCTCAAATTAATGGCAAAGGACATTTTTGAAACAACTGTGAAACTTTGCATAAAAACTAAATAGTAGATAAGATGAAAATGCATTGATGAGAAAGGATGATGATCATTAACTGAAAAAAGCTTATCAAACAGAATTTCAAGAATATTGCTTATAAAAAATAATGTGTCTATATATCTGCACATTTATATATGGAGGGAGAGAGGGATCTAGAAAGACCCGCACTAAGGTGTTAACAGTGATAATTGCTTTCCGGCAGTGGCATCATATTTTTATTTTGTTATTTTATTTTCTAACGTTCTAAAATATCAGTGCATTGCTTATATTAGCAAAAACAGACATAAAGTATTTTTAAATGAATACAAAATAACTTAGTTATATTTACTGAGTTAGGATAAAAGCTTTTTTCCCCAATACCATAAAGTGTTTTTGCTCAGGAACATGAAGCAATAACATGATGATTATAAGTCTGCGGAGGGATCACGTCAAAAAGGTGCAGAGAAGGCATAAAAAAGCCTCATCCCTTTGCAATGTCAGTGTGACCATGGGCACCAGGCTCCTCAGCTGTGCAGCCCTGTGTCTCCTGGCAGCAGGTGCGCCCCGAGCACAAAAGAAAAATCCTTGTCCTCGGCTTGCCAACCCCCAAATCCAAGCTTTTGTTTTGTTTTGTTTGTTAAGCTCTCTCCTGGACTCTTTCTACAGCATCTGTTTCTTTCTCTTACAGGCTCTTTTCATGCCGAAGTCACACAGACTCCAGGATATTTGGTCAAAGGAAAAGGACAGAAAACAAAGATGGATTGTACCCCCGAAAAAGGACATACTTATGTTTATTGGTATCAACAGAATCAGAATAAAGAGTTTACATTTTTGATTTCCTTTCAGGATGAACAGGTTCTTCAAGAAACGGAGCTGCACAAGAAGCGGTTCTCATCTCAATGCCGCAAGAACCTACCTTGCAGCCTGGAGATCCCGTCCTCGGAACCAGGAGACACGGCACTGTATCTCTGTGCCAGCAGCCAATCCACAGCACTGAAATGTCAGTTCCTCTTAGCACACAAACTTGTCACAGGCCCAGCTCAGGAAGCAGGTGATGTATTAGGTTGGAACGGAGTAATAGAAAGTAACTGTAGCCAGTTTAAGCCACAGTGGAATTTAACACAAGGATAAAGCATGTTTAGCAAAAGTCAAGAGGGGATGGACAGACAGTTCTGAAAAGGCACCCTAGGGCTGGGCTCTAGAATGACTCTCTCTCCAGCTCTGATTTTTCTTCAAATTTGGCTACTGCATGCTTTTACCTCCCGTACACCATCTCTTTCTCTCCAGGCCTCATGGTGAGAATGAGATGGTCACTAAAGATTACAAATTCAGTTGCCATCATTTCCCTACGCTGATAAACACCAGCCCAGCTCTTTCTAAGCCTGAGTTCAAAATCCCAGGAGAAAAAACCAGATCGGTCATGCATGATCCAGCCATGAACCTTCTCATAGAGCACTCAGCAGTAGGCATGTATGTATGTATTTAAAATCACATAAATGTTACTTTTCCACTCAGCTCAAGCAAGGGAACTGCTCTGCTTTTCTATATGTACATTCGGTCTGTTGCTTCTATATGATAGAGAGTACTCATATCCATGTCTTCAGAAACACCCAGATTTTCTCCAGTTTCCTGCCAGAATTGAAAATTCTTGCACAAATACCTTCATACACTTGTATGATTGCTTATAGGATTATATGCCCAGAGCAAGTCATGATTGCTGAGACATGGAATTCTATGCATATTTTATCTATTTAAATACCACCATGGGTTCTTCAGGATCACTGTATACATCTGCAATCCCACATAAAAGTAAATGGGGTGTTTTCCTACATCCTAATATCTCCTATAATCATTATCCAGTAATCTAGATTGTTCTTAGTCTAGCAATGTAAAGAGATTCCAATCTCTTTCTCTCTCCACCCACCCCCATCCCCGCCCCACTCACCCACTGCCAGAATATCATCAGAGTTTACCGTAAAGATACAGGTGACAATTTTTTTTAAACTAATAAACCAATAATTTAAAGGAATTGAGAGATTAGTTTATACCACTATAATAATAACTGGCAACAATCTAGAAAGCTGAATAATGTTCTCTCCCTCCTTTTCTTTCTCTTGCATTTTTCTAATTACTAATGAGTTTGAGCACTTCTTCATGTGATAGTGGTCCTGGATTTCTGTTCTCAAAATGGTCTATCCATATCCTCAGGCAAATTCTCTATTGAGAGTTCTATATTTTCCTCAACAATTTGTAGGAGGTCCTGAGATAACAAGATAATAGTCTCCTTTTTTGAAATGTTAGGCACTGGAAATACCACCACCCAATATGGCACCACTCCTGTCCCAGACTTCAAAGAATCAGTAGATGTGGGAGGAACCAGGTGGTCTCTTACCTTAGCAGGTGCATGCATGTTATCTCCATTATGTGAATGATACTTCTATCTTTCACTTCCACTCTGCTGAACGCTCGACATTCTGTCTCTTCCATTATTACTCATGTCTTTAAGCAGCATAGAAAAGTTACCAGCCATGGCTGTCCCCAAACCACTATCACCCATCGATAACTCTTTCTATCCAGAACTGCTGAAAAAAATGCTTCACTCCATTTTGCTGTGCTTTTTCACAATCTGGGGTAAATTTGAATCAAGTTAATTCGTATTACTCTTTTCTAAGTGGGTTATGCTGTCTGGTTATAGCAAAGGACAGAAAAATCTCACACATCTTTTTGGAAGACTTAATACTTGCCCACACATTATCTCTTTTAGGGCCAAATTCCAGCCACTGCAAACACCAATCTCCTTGAGCTCTTGATATGACAGCTAATCCATTTTGATTCCACAAATGCTTGCAGAGCAACTCCCATTCACTAAGACATAAAGGCATTGAGAAATTTTCAGCTACACTACATGGAATTTTGGTCTCTGGGGAAAGAGAGAAGAATAAAAAGAACCATAAAAATGTATTTCAAATAATGTGTATAAGGATGACAAAACATAGATTACTTTCATGGAAAACATTAGAATATTATATTCTCTTTGGGAGTCAGTGGATAAATTAAAACAAATTCCTGAGGAAGTTTGAGAAAAAAAACAAATTTAGGAAAACAAATTTTAAATGATATCCTGAAAACCATCAGGGTTTACCATAAAGATAACAATCTAAAAAAATCAAACAAACAATTTAATAGTGAATGAGAATATGAATACAGAAAATTCATATGAATATGGAATGAAATATTAGTAAAAATATGTTTGAGAACACTTACAAATGAATT